AGAATTTCTCACATTAGCATCCTCAATTACCGAATCTTTTTTCACAGCCTTATTATCCGAAGTGTCTCTCTTCTCCTTTCTTAATTCGGTGATTCGTTTAGTTTCACGCTCTATCGAACCCAATTTGGGTTTAAAAATTCCAGCCTTATCTTTAAGCGTTACGAGTGATGACGATGGTGACAGGCTTTTTGCTGTACAAACCGTATGTTTTAGAAACTCCAAGTGTCTCAGACGTTCGAAACCCTCGAAGATTTTGTGTTGTGGGGTACTCCCGGGAAAAAGAATGCGAGTGATTGTATCTTCTGGATTTGCCGGTTGCCATACGAGCAATGCACAAATCGAGACTAAATTTTGCACTGGAAATATAACTGTATTGGAGTCTTTTTTGTGTGAGCCAGCGAAAAGCTTCGAGTCCGATGCGTTCCACTTTGACATAAATTCGCGAACTTCGCGACTGTCTTTGTTTGGACTTAAAACATACATATCTAAAGTACCGTGTCCAACTTTATGATATAAATTAATTGGCTCTGGATCCCTATAACAAGGATGTGGGCGAAGGTTTATGTGACGTAAATTAACCATCATTTCTTGTCCTATGTCAATTAGATTTAAAACGAGTGGATCTGTGTCTTTGTCACCATCGGGAGAATTCGAGTGTCTTCTTTCCTACGTACAACAAAAAATTAAAAAAAAAAATTATATATATATATATATATATGTATGTATTAAATAACAATGACAAATAAATTGTGTTAAAGTAATACCATTATTATTTGAATGTGCATAATCAATTCGATTAATCAGCTAGTTAGCTAATTATTAGCTAACGCAATTCGTGATCTTATTATTAATATTGTAAGAGGAGAAGAAAAAAAAATTTACCGATCTCTCGTTACATTACATAAAATTTAGAATAGCATTTTATATGAAAAACTCGGATACCTCATCAAGTGATACTCACAATAAGATTGCAAAAGAAATGTCCTATTTGCGGATAAACGTGCATTTCTTTCTTTTTCTGAAGAACACTGGACATGCCACCAACATTACTGTTATTTACTCGCGTGACGAGTACTGCATCGAGGCGATCGAGATGACGGGCAAAGTCCCAAAAGCATGCCTTACGCGCAAAACCTCCATCGACCAGCATATTGAATCCATTTATACCAAATAAAGCGGCATCTCCTTCTCCGCCAGGGAAGACATACAGAGTTGGATGACTAAAACGTATATTACCAACAACATCGGACGGTTCCATGAGTTGATCCAGAGTTTGGGCTACCATATACTGTCCAATGTAGTTCGTAAAACTTGTAATTGCTGGTACACCAGCTGTGAGAACATCGTCGGGGTTGATTCTTACTTGACACGCTCTATTAATTAATTAGATATATATTTTTAGTTGTAAATCTATTGACAAAGTTACAAAATTAATTACTATGTTCATCAATACACGTGGAATTTCATAAACGTTAACAATTTTATTTTACATATATCGATAAATTTAGTTCAATTTTCAATTATATATATATATATATATATATATATATATATATATATATATATATATATATATATATTCTTGCACACTACTATATATAATACCTTATAATCATTGATAATATTAAAAGTTAATCAATTTTAGATCATTAATATATTTTAATATATTTAACGAACAACAATTTATAAATGCTTCTATTAATATCAAGTTTACGTGTCTGACAATTATAATATTTTTCACGTATTACAATTTTTATGTTAAAATTAAATATTTTTCAGTATGAATTAAAAAAAGTGCATATACAATGATACGTATCAAGAAAAAAAATATTGCTATTTTCAAACTACACAAGCACTGAGTTTTATCTTTTTCAAAAATCATAATATTATAAATCAATATCGTTATTGGGCTTCGATTATCATTCCTGTAAAAATATTTAAAAGCGTATTTATTTTTATTCAATACATTTAGGTAAACAGTAGTGTGGAAAAAGTAATTAAACACTTGAACGAACGTATTTTTTTCCGAGCAATTTCATACATCATGTACTATGCAACAAACCATAAAATAAAATTGTTTAAAAAAAATGATTAAAATGAATGCATTCTGTAGATGTAAATTAAAGAAAATATTAGAAAATTTAAATGAAAAACAACAAACAAATATTGTGCGAAGGAATGTTTATATAAATCATTATGAAAGACTCTTAATCACTGTATCAAATGTATCAAAGATATTCGGTTTCGTGATTCAAAGGAATTTTACGAGATATTCAAAAAAAAAAAAAAAAAAAAAAATCATATTCAATACGTACATATTTATTTTAAAATGAGCATCGAATTATGAGTAAAATAAAATATATAAAATATATAAAAGTGTTAATTATCAATTACTCTAATATCTATTGTAAAAAAATAATATGATTCTATATGAGCTTGCACAGTTAAAAAACACATGAAATAAGATTCTAATGACAATTGAATTAACTTAGAATTGCTTGTCGTTATGTGTATTAACAAATTTCACTCTAATATCATGGGACGTAGAAAAATTATTTGTCGAGTTAATGAACTTATTGTTGTATTAATTAATTCATTGTCGTATATAAGAAAATACGTTAAAAAGTACCTAGTACAAGCTTCCTTAGAAAGTCGTAATGTCGTCCAATCACCTACACCAGCGCAATGTATATCTACAGTAACACTATTCTCGTAAGCTCGAAGCACTCGTTGCACTTCATGCTCGCTAAATGCATCTAAAAAGTCGGGAAGGCTGAAGGTTCCATCCTGTTCACAAGATTACGTAAAGAGAATTAAATTACATAGTGCGGAGGTATTTGAGTAGGACGCCTTAATCACACGATGAAATTATTAATTCCGTCTGATTATATAATGGATACGCACCTGCAGAATCCAGGAACCATTTCCACCAAATGTATATCCAGCGTGAATGATGTGTCGATGCTTCGTAAAACTTGCGAGGAGATTGCGAATACATTGTAGTAAGGTATTGCTTTGGGGATAGATGAGAACTTCGGTTACGAGATTCTCCGTTGCATATTGAATTAAACGCTCTCCTACAAATGGAAAGATATTTTTATTCTTATTTTATAATTAATTGTAAATATTGGCAATGTCAAGCAATTGCCGATTATTATTGTACTTAATGGGATTGAAGATTTTCTAAAAAAAACTGGAGGAATATATTTGAAATCATTAATGTGTATAATGTAATGGAGATGCGAATTTGCCTTAAATTATAAATATTTATATGGATGTAGAATACATTTTATTACCATTTCTGGCTTCCTCCCCTTCCGGAGACTGTGCCACCAGTGCTTGCAATTCTTTTTCAAGATCTACGTGACAACTATCCTTGTCCCACGACAGGAAACCTGTAATAATAAAGTTACTTTGATTACTAGTGTAATGTTGTTTCTAATAATTGAAAGCTTATTTTTCATATTAATCACTAAGAGCCATTTAAATTAGACAAATAACTTTCATCATAAATATATGATTACAATATACTTTCATTTATAAGTATGTGGATGCGTATCATCAATTTATTCTGCAAACTATTGAATCTTAATGTTATGAAACAAATTCATAAAATTATCTGTATGATACACAAATGATTTTTTCTGGCTTTTCACGGGGTTCACAAATTAAAGATTAACTTTCAGATTTAAAAAAAAAAAAAAAAAAAAAACAAGTGCTTAAATGCGTCAACAGCACAATGCGATTCATACGACAATTGCATCAATTATGCAATACGAATGAAACTTAATGTCTTGACCTTGATAAACGAGAGAGGCAGATGAATACTTATTACTTAACACTTATTTAAGATTTATCTTAAAATTTATATCATTCGACCGATTCAAGATTTCAATGATAAATATCTTTTTATTTTATGCTTTAAACAATTTATAAATCACATGTACTACTAAGATACTAATAGCGTTACGGATACTCCATACAAAGTACCTAGCAATCGAAATATTATAGAGACGTTAATCCAATCCCTCTACATCCAATACTCTTTCTCACTCTGATCTCTGATATTATCGTCGTAGAATTATTGTCCTCGAACAAAAAAAAAAAAAACAGAAGAATTTGAATAAAAGTCTTGTGCTTGTAAAATTTATTCTCCAACGTCAAATAATATCGTTGCTGCGAATTTGGGCAAATGATGACGAAACATGTTCGTGCAGTCCACTATTAGTAATATTTAACATATTTATAGATAATAAATAATATTAGATACTGTTTTATAAGATATATAAATTATAGGAAAGAATATTTAATGAATTATAAATACCTTAGAGGTAGAAAAATAATAAATTTTCAATTTGTAAACAAATTATTTGAAAAGTATCTTTATTAATACATAAATATAATTTTTGTTTTTTTTTCTTCTTGTTTTTATATCTTTTACAATCTACTTTTACAATCAATTAAAATAATGAAATAGAATTAATAAAGCCAAGTAGAGTAAACAATGATTAGTTTAATGATTTAATTTATCACAAACTATTTTAACTACAGGTAGATACGATTGTTAGAGATTTTATTTTGATAATATTTATAATTATTATTCTGAATAAATAAAGCTTATAAAATTATAAAAGAGAGTATTTAAAAAAATTAAATTTTTAAAAAATAATCAAATGTATAAATTGTATTTCTCTGAAATATTAATTTCTTAGAGTTATTTAAAATGTGTATATTATTGATCGAATATTTTTTATGTAAACATTTTTTAAAAATATTTTTATACAAATTTGTACAAATAACATTATTAGTGTATTTTGAAAATCAAAAATATTCTGCCACTCGTTGTTTCGATTTTTAGTTCGTTTTAATTTTATAATTGGAAATTTATTTTCGGCTATTCAAAATAGATATGTTTATTTTTAATTAATGTTCATTTATATTAGATATCCATTAAAATTAATCCAAATTGAGATTATCGCTTTTATTAATTGTTTAATGGAATTTTTCGATTGTAACACTCAAACGTTAAATGATGTTTAAAAATAGAATAATTTATTTGATATTAAATGAGCATTGTCATAATGTTAAATAAGTTTATATTGTAAATTAGAACTTTGTATACACTTTAAATATATTTTGTCAAATAATAAATAAATGCACATAGATTATTATATTTAAATCAAAAAAGTTTATTTAATCAATTAAAAATATGTCAAAATTAAAATTAAATTATAAGCTATTGGACTGCAATCGCTCATTACTCTGAATTATAACATTTGAATAATGATTTAAACTATTCAAAGAATATAATTATAAATATAAATTATCTTTCGAAACTTTACTTAAATAATACGTTCGTCATAGTTTCATATTTCATTTTTAATATGAAATCAATTGAAAAGTTTTTGTTTTCTTTTCTCCCCCCCCCCCCCGCTTTTGTCAAGCAGCAACAAATACAAAAATACGCATTAATTGTCAAAAGATATTTACTATTCGAAACTTTTTTTTGAAAGGGTAACATTTCATGGTTAAATATCGTTAAAAAAACCTTTAATGCGTATGTAACGTCGTGCGGGTTATGATTTAGATATAAGGATGACTCGAAGGAAAGTAGTGTATGGCATATCTTGTGTAGGTGTAGTTAGTTTCTTTTAGAGCATGCGTCGTGAAAATGGAAGATTCTTGATTCGACATCCGGATAAGTAATGCCATACATCTTTTCTCATTTTGATCCATTGAAAAAAAAAATCGTAATAGTCTATTGTATATGTATCAATATAATATCTTTTTTTTTTTTTTTTTTTTTTAAGCATTTATGAAGAAAATGGAATGACGTTTTACATAGAGGTAATGATTTCGTTACTTTAACGAATCTAGAGGTTGACGACAATTTTTACTATTATTACGTATAAAATACTTTTCGAAACATAGTACTGACTTATTTGAGCAGAGTATAAAATGAGTACATATGATAACAAAAAGAAAGAAGATAGCGAAGTTTAACAAAGCGCACAGTTTCTTCATAATATTATCGATTAATTATCAAATGATGTTATAATTATATTTAAACACATTATGTGTGAATTTATTGGATTCCCAGTTAATTTATAATAGTATTTATAAGCGTATATGTTCCTACCCAAGAAATTTTCAATTTAAAAAAAAATCATAATAGCAAATGTATAAGCAATGCAACTAATTATAGAATTAAAATAATACAAATAATACGCTTATTATTTAATTCACTTCTCCTAATGATGTAATATTTCAACGTCGCATAAGCAAAAAACACAAAAACAAACAAAACAAAAACAAAAACAAAAACAAAAACAAAAAAAAAAGTGAAAAAATATATCTTGAAAATAAAATTATACGAATAAAAGCAAGACAAGGAGGAGTAAAATAGTGAAACTCAATCGAAGGGATAGCTAGGACGGCAGGGATGACGTCACGAACGCCGCACCCCCGTCACGTGGTCCTTACCAGCCGGGAATCGATCCATGTACAGAGCCCCTCTCCGCCGACCAAGTCTCTCCGAGTCCAAAACTCCTATATCCGTTACCCACTTTTATTAAAAAATAATGACGACGATGACGTTAAAAAGAAGAATAATCACAATAGCAGCAACTCGAGAAATTATAGGATTTTGCATGCTTATTTATCAGGGTTTTTCTTCTGGTTTACGAATATCTTGCATCGTTTATAAATTGACGTTTGAGGCGTTGTTGCTGTATCGCGAGGACCCGATTTTCCAGGTGCTGTGGCCAATCATGTACCAAGCATCATAGACGGAAATATGATTTTTTAAAATGGCTACATTATAGATTATGATAACTAGAGGCAAATAAAAATAATAAGCGATATATGTATATCTAACGCGAACTAATACGTTTAATATCGTGTACTAACGTATATTCATTCCTAGAAATTAATGTTTCTATAAGGTATATCGATTAGTATTGTAGAATACGGATATTTATAAATGGCATCATTTATTTTTTCTTTCGTATAATCTTTCATTTTCTCCTAATCTCTAATCCCTACAATAAATTTCTAATAATTTAGTGATTATTATAAATTTGAGATAATGTTAAAATAATGAGTAAAATGTCTTTAAATGTCTTTAAATGGCCAAGTAACCAAGCCATTAGTAAAGCATATAAAATGCTTGGTTAAGTAATTCGAATCGAAAGCGGTAAATAGAGCGGCAGAAATACGAATGTACGAACGAGTCATTGGCGAGAAAATTGCTATTAATAAAGAAAATTAATGCTGGCCGTATCGGAGCTGATGACGATAATTATCATTACAGAATTTAATTTTGATCTGGCCTAAGAAAAGCACGGAATCAATATTTGAATTAGCACTTTAGGTAAGGTCAGGCGTTGACTTTGCAAGAAGGTGGATGAGGCGGAGGAGGAGGAGCTGTTGGAGGAGGAGGAGGAGGAGGAGGAGGAGGAGGTTGCGGTGACAAAGACGCAAGGGTCGCCCCTTAAAGCTTCTAAATTGGTATATCGCAGAAGGCACTCAGTGCAGTGTCAAATTGATCGGAAGCCCTGAAGGTGATACGACGAAGCCGTGTTGAGTTTTACGTCTTCGATGCTCACTCACTCTAGTTTCTCACTTGTTTTCGATATCCATTATTCGCTCATGTTAAGTGCGTTCTATTTTTCAAACATTTGATTCATGGATCGATGGAATTCGCGATAAGATCATTTCGTCAAATGAAATTTTAATTCGGTAGTAACATTGTGTTATTGTTTGGAAAGCCTGATTATTGACATACAATGGCGGATTGAGAAATTTTTTATTGGCGATAATTATAAGCTTTGTTTGTACGTAAATAATAAATTTTATGAAATTTATTCCTCCGATACTTAGAATTAAATAAGTTTTTTTATATTAAACAATGCGTAAGTTGAGCTTGCATGCATCGCTAATATTTACAATTACTATATTAGTAAATAATGTTTTAATTGACAATCAAATAGAAATTGTTAATAATAGACCTTCAAAATTCAAGCATTTATTTGTAATTAATATTCATATTGTTGATGTAGTAAAGAAGAAAACAATTTATCCAATAATGATTTCAATTTCAATTTTAGGAAAAAATAATTTGTTTTCATGACGATCGTTATACGAATTTATAAAAATAATTTTGTAAATAAATGGAAATTTACAAATAGAAATTATCTTTATTATAACAATTGTTTGAATGAAAATTTGTAAAAAAAAAAAAAAAAATAAAAACTATTTATATAAATACTTTC